TCCCTAACATTCTTTTTGAAATACATAAGGTTTTGCAGAAACTCTAAAATTTTCATCTTAAGAAATCTAAGCGAAAAGAAGGAAATATTTGTTTAGGAACTTACCTTCTTCCTCCCTAAGCCTTCCCCTTTGATTTCTCTCTAAACCACCACCTCTCCCCACCGTCTCCCTCGCACCCGTCGCCTTTCCCCGCCTTCCCTAGCGCTCGGCCAAACAAATGGTGTGAGAATGAAAGGGACCGAATGGTCCCTTTATGGGAGAGTTCAAAGACCTAAGTTCCCCCCTTTAATACTTATTTTCATATAAAACAAAAAGGGTTATTAAGTTATTTTTTTATATTAATAACCTGCAACGATTTTTAATTCCGATTTCGTGCAAAATTTATTATAAGTTTTTTATATCGTTACAATCAAAATTTAATATACTATTTTATAAAATTATTTTCGTTGAAATCCGACAACTTTGAAAATGCGCCTAAATTTCATTGCGGTACATCGAAATGCGTGCAACGCTTACGATCGACATTTTTTCGGATTTGCACTACTCATCTCCCCTTATTGCTTCCGTCTCTCCTTAGCTGTAGAATCCAACCAAGAAAGGTTCTAGATGGGTCCTTCAACCGCAACACACTACTGAACAACTGCTCATCTCAACATTTGTCTTGGCTTTTCCCTCTACCCGCAAGCTTGCCTCAGCCATCCTCATTAGGAGAAATTGTAAAAATTATAAAAATAACTTAGGTTCCTCTTTGATGCAATGATGTATCATCTCACCTCAAGAAGTAGAATATTTATGTCATTAGATCTCAGGACATCGTGAATAATATGTTTGGCTCAAAACAAACAGTAATCATTTAGTAAGTCTTCATAAATCTTTAACAATATGAAATATAAAAAAAATAAAAGCTTTAACTTACAAATAACTAATGAAATCACCATTAGAATAAACTTTAAATCAATTTGTATTTCACAATAAAATAACACATCAAATGATAATGTCATGGCCACTTAAGCCAGCATACTATAATTGTAATCTTTTAGATATGCTAGGATTATGTTTTTTCTCTTCATGCTTATGGTTGCAATGTCTGGTGTGAAATGATTATTTGTGTTGCGGGCATATTCTCTTATGTTTTAAGGCAGAGGGATTTTTTTGCTTCAAACCTACTTGAAAAAAGTAATATGCATGAGATGCGTCTTGGAAGTAAAAATAAAAAAATAGATAGAAAAAAATGCATGAAGACAAATATGGGGGCTGATTTTTTTATTACTTCTTCAACAATAATGAAAGGTACAACTGATCTATTACTCGATAGATAGATCGACTCTCTCACAAACCCTTGCCACGTTAGGAAATTCACACTAAACTTAGAAAATAATTTCAGCACATATCTCATGATAACCCTAGACAAAACTCCCCTCACATACATTAAGCACAATTGGAACCTTCTTAAACACCATAAATACAATTAGGAAACCTTCCTAAATAGGTAAAACCTTTCTACACAGTGTAAATGCAATTAAAAAATCTGCCTAAACAATTAAAACCTTCGTAAATAGCATAAACATAATTTGAAAACCTTCTTAAATAGCTCTCCCTTGATCCCTCCTCACTACATAATGAATAATAGCTCCCCTAGGCCCCGAGGGGGGGGGGGGTTTAAAACTCCCCCTCTGTTGCCCCTGGTTCTGCCCAGCCAAAGGGCTAGGCCAGTTGACTGAGCTGGCTTGGGCCGATTTGGTTGGGTTAGTCTGGGTCGGCCAGGTGGCCCCCCTCATGGCGTAACAATACTCCCCTCCAAAGATGCACCTTGTCCTCTAGGTGGAAGGATGAAAATGATCTCCTTATCATCTTGTATGACTCCCATATGGCTTTGAACTTCAACAAATTTGTCCACTTAATTAGTACCTTTTGTGCTCATATTTTCCTTTGGCGCACCCCTTCTACTTCCAGGGGTTCTAGAATGACCTCCATGTGTTCTGTTAAAGTCGGGAGTAGCAAAGATGGTGTATAATCTCCTATCGCCTGCCTTAGCTGTGAGACATGAAATGGGTGCAATGCTGATGAAGATGATAATCCCAATCGATAGGTCACCGCTCCAATGCACTCCAAAATCTCATAATCCCCAAAGTATTGTGCGGACAATTTCTCATTCCTCCTTTTGGCTAATGTCTTTTGTTGATAGGGTCTCAGCTTCAAGTAACCATATCTCATAGCTCGAAGTGTACTTCTCTCATGTGCTCATTAGCCTTTTTCTTCAAGATATGTTGGGCCCTAAGCAGATGTCCTTATATCCACCAACTTCAATCCCAACTTTTCCACACCCTAATTTGAGACAAAGGTGACCACCACTGATTTCTCCATGATCTGTCCCCTAATCTTCAAGGTGTAGGTGCTCTCCTCATGCTTCTGCTGCCTCCCCCAACTCCTTGTTGTCGGTCTCCTCCTCACCAACCGTAAGGACCTAGAGTGTGCAGTCATTGCACCGCTAACCTGGCGCATACTTCTTATCACATCAAAAACACAAACTCTTTGCTCTCTTGTCTTGCACCTTTGCCTTTGTAAGGAGTTTGAAGTTCATATAAATTATTTTATATATTGAAAATTGAAATCCCTGTGAACTCGGAGCTCTAAAAATTATAGAAAAATATTCATAAATTATCACGTGTCTAGAGGACACTAGTGAATTTGATTTGTAAAGTGGACACCTAACGTTCCCAAAAATCCCACTTGTTCTAAAAGTGTCAATTTTTTGCACTGCCCCTAAAATTATGAGGAAATTATTATAAATAAAGCACTTTAATATTTATATTATGGCGAAGATGATTTATAAATTTGACTTATAATAACTTCTGAAATATTATTTGATTGGGTCAAAATATGGGTTATTACAACATTGGACTCCAATGGATGAGACAAGATAGAACAATTTGTTATAATGAAGACTAAAATAAAGCACCCCTTAGCGATGACAGTGCAGATGGTTTCTGAGTTGTTGACAATTATTTCAATTTTCTTTAGAAATTAAATGTGGGCGAGAAGGAAACTAAGAAAAATGGAATTTAGAGTTGAATTTGATGTTATATAATACTTTTATGTAGCTCTTATATTTTATGTTGTTTTGCTCTTATAATATTCAAATTTCAATTCTATTTCGCACAATTTATCACTTGTCACATTATGTTTTGTGCAAATAATTTGTTACTTCATAGTTCAATAGAAAGTTAATATATTATTTGGGTATTATATAAAAATTCATTTTTAACATTTATTTTTACTTATGCAATTTTTAGATTTTTAGGGTTATGCCTAAAACGTCTTGAGGCTTACGGTTTGCCTCACGAACAAAAAATATGTCATTACCCAATTGTACAATTTTAAACCTTTTTTATGAAATTTTTTTTATATATAGCTCGTAGGTCCTTTCAATTGCTTTTGCTTTATTGCTCACTGCTAGCTCGGTCTTCTTCTTGGCCTTGAAGACCCCGCTCTTTAGCCAATTTCTGAGCAATGCTGTGCTTACTCTGAGTTACTACTTACCTAATATTGCACCTAAGTACATCTTTTGTTGATATTTCCTTTAGAAGATGTCAGATAAAATATCTTTTTATGACTTTACATACTGCCCAACGTCTTTTGTCATTTTATTGATGTATTGACATTCTTGAGAGCTTCCTTTTTTAGTATTATTTATGCGTTCATTCAATAGCTCTTTTTAGATGAAAAGTTCGTTGTATCATTCAGCATTACAAATGCTGTCTTGCAACTCATCTAGAAATAGTCATTGCTACTTTGTGCAACCTTGATCAGGCAGGGAGTTGCTTCATAGCTCTCTAATCAAGTTTATACTCTTTGATGCTTAGACATTTTTAAGGGTTTAAATATATGAAAATATTAAATTCTTGATGCAAGCAAGAAATTAGGAGAAAGCGTAATTTTTGCAAGCAATAGAAACTCTTCCTAGGATAATAAGAAAATACACGAAAAAAGACAAATTAAAACTTTATATCATAATAGAAAGGACACTTCAACTTTTGACGCTTACAAACACAAACATAAACATACACATAAACTTGCTTTCTTGGATTGAGAAGAATGATACAATTGGAAGGGAACTTGCGGAGAGACAAAAGAGATAAGAAGCTGAGACGAAGGAGGAGAAGCTCGCAAGCTTTCTTAGAAGAAGAGAGGAATGGAACAAGCTCGCAAGCTTTTCCACGAAGAAACCCGCAAGTTTAGGCTCCAAAAAGCAATCTCATAACTCACTAAAAATCTCTTTTTTTCATACAAAACACCTTTTATTTATAGGGGAAAGAGGGCAGCCAAACAACCCTAAGTATCTCCAATTAAACCAATTAAAAAGGCCTTCATTTAATCCAGAAACAGCAACCGAACAACCACAGTAAATTCCAGAAACAGCAATTGAAAAGCCACACAAGAAACCAAGAAAATCAGCCACGGGTCAAGCAGCCAGGGGGTGAATTGAAGGGGCACAAGGGGAACCGGAACAGGCACATAGGGAACCAGAACCAGCAGCCCAAGGGGGATCGGGACAGCCACCAAGCAGGAAAACTGAAGAGACACAGGGGAGGAACTAGCCATGGGAAGAAGAATCAAGGAGGGGGAAACCAAAGAGCCAAAGAGAGAGAGGGGGAATGAACCAAATAATGACACATTATGAGCTGAAAAGATTCTCTACTAGACATTAATGAGCTGATTCTAGTAGAGGACCTAGAACTCTTCAAAATTATAATACAAAATGTTTTGAACCACCCCCCCCCCTGCCTACATCAATTCTCTCTTGCGTTACCATTATTATGTCATTAAGCAATTGCCTTTTGACCCTTCCAGTTATGCCTCTAATAGAAAAAAAGTTACCTTGCTGTTAAATAAAAAAAAGGAGACAGAATTCTGTTACCTTGAATTCATCATTGATGGATATTACTTCTTCAGTAGTAGTTGAGAACTACTGAGCATTTATGTGTAATATTGTGTTGCAGTGATCACGGGATTGTTTATTCCGCACCTGCCTACAGGATTCCAGAGTGCTCAAGGACTGCAGCTGGAACACCTTTGGTGCAGGTGCCTTAAAGTAGAATATGCTCTTCAAATTATTATTCAGTAGTGTGATAGTTCTTTTCCAACACCAATTTTTTATTTTTTTTCTTTGGTGGCTAGCTTCTATCATTGACTGAGGGAGAAAGAATTACATCTATAATTCCTGTTAGTGAATTTGCTGAAGACCAATACCTAATTATGCTGACTGTGAAAGGCTATATCAAGAAAGTTTCTCTTAATGTTTTTTCAACAATCAGAGCAACAGGGATAATTGCAATCCAACTGGTTCATCCCATTTTGGCTTTTTCTGTTTTCTCATTTTTGTTTAAAGTATTGCAGCTATATCCCTGAAATGCAGCTCATGCTTATCTATTTCAACATGACAGACACCTGGTGATGAGCTTAAATGGGTTCGACACTGTGCACATGATGACCTCGTTGCAATTGCTTCACAAAGCGGGATGGTCACCATTTGTTCCTGTAATCTGGTAAGGTTCCATGGCAAGAAGGATTTGGGTAAAAGTTATAAGAAAACTGTCATTTTGGACTAATTCTAAAGTTGCAATACAAGTTCTATAGTGAAAATCGTTACCTAATATTGTGATATTGGGCTAAACATATTTGTGGTATGCTCAATGTTTTCTTAAGATTAATGATTATTTTTTCTCTTTGTATAGTTTGGCCATTTTATTTGAAGGATAGTTTGGGTTTTACAAGACTTAAGCTGCAGGTATTGGAAACTGGCAAAGTTTGAACCAATGAAAGTGTTATTTCTGCATCTCAGACAGTTTAGTTGTTGAGATAAATATTGTTATTGAGTAGTCGGCATCTTTTCGAAGGTTTCAAGACAATCGACCAATTCATATTAAAGATTGCATCACAATCAAGTGGAATGGTGACGGACCATATGTCACCTCCTTATGAGTTGGTGCAAAGGATATGTGTTGTTGCAGTGAAATGAGAGAGAAGCAGTGGCCAAGGGCTTGGAAAAGCACGATAAGATAAAATTAGTCAGGTTGGGAAACAAGCACACTATATAAGCGTTGGCTGGTCAGAACAGTGAAATTAGGCGAGTGAGCAGGCAGGGTTGATTTAAACCAGAAGAAGGGGATGAGACGAAAGCTAGGATCAAATTATCACCTCTGATATCATGTTGAAAAGAGAAAAATTGTTGTGTATATATTAATTTAGAGAAGTGCCTATAAATTGGAAAACAAAGTAAATATAAAAGGTACTATATAAAGAGGGAAATATTCTCTATTATGAAAATCATCTCTCCAGCTAATAAGCTAATTTAAGTTTTTTCCTAGATAACTATTTTCTATCCTGTACTTTTCAATTGAAGGCATCTTTTATCTTCAGTAAACTTCATTCTACTTTCAAATTTCGTATGTTACATCAGCAAAAGTAATTCTTAATCCTTGAAGGTTGATTTTCTGAGTTGTCTTTGAATTGGAAGAATTAATGTGCAAGCATAATTAAAGAACAATGCCTTGCCTGGCTTTGTATTTTTCAAAATCATTTGCTTTGTAATCCATAAAAATAGTTTTGATTGTTTCACTTCTATGTGATGATATTGTTATATCTGAACCAGCTTCGTGTTCTTGGGAGGAAAACAAGAGGTGTAAACTCCATGAGATTAAAAGAAGGGGACAAGGTTGCATCCATGGACATAATACCTTCTGGGATGCGGAAAGATTTTCCAAGAGCTTCTGACATTCCTGGTAGCAGGTGAATTTTTATGGTAGTTCGTAGATTCACTAACTTATTAAGATTTTTTTTCTTCGGAATTTCTTTGCTCAAAGATAATACATTCCAAGAATGCATCTACATCTGGTGTTACACCTTGCACAAGATGCAAGGTTTATTATTACAATTGATAGTTTGCTTTTGTTTATTGTACTGCAATTGTTCTGTGACAGGCATGCTTTAGTCACTGTGCATTCCCAACAGCATATCTGACACTTATCTTGTTTGCTATCGGATTTCTTTGTATTTTTAGCAGGGGCAGAGATATAAGTCCTCCATGGCTGCTCTTTTTATCTGAAAGTGGTCATGGGAAGCGGGTACCTCTAAGTGAATTTCGCTTGTCAAGATTTAGATCAGTGGGGTTGATTGGCTATAAGGTACAAGTTACTCTTAGTCATATATAATTCATATCATAGTAAGCCCCATCTAAACGTAGAAACTTTATGTTATTGATAAATTTTATGTAGGAGGAAGTGATGAAAATATGCTTCTCTTCAAGCATTTTTGGTCATGTATGACTTGCAATATTATACGCATATTTTCTTACCTTTCCTTATACTTTGGAGCTGAGAGACATAATTTAGGGGGCAGCAGCGTTCTGTTTTACAATAAATGCCCAAAAAAAGGATTTTAACTTCTCCTTAAAATGTTAAATGAACGTGAGATACTATTAATTATTTTCATAAAGCAAAGAATTTTGCCGACTTTTTAGCTTGTGTAAATTGGTATTTTTACAGTTGTTATCACAGCTATTTAGTACTGCCTATTGAGTGTTTTTATTGCTATTGAGCTTGTTCAAGCTCTGAGAATGCTGGTATGCATTATCTTTCATTAATATTTAGATCAAATTCTGTCTTGAATTTAGGTTGATTATGATGGAAATTTTAAAGTCCAGTTTAAGCTGTATGAATATCTTTTGTGTAGCCTAAATATGACCTTCCAGGTTAAGTTCCTTGTGTAGCATTTTTCTGTAATATTTCAGATTGTCTTTAGGCATAGTCCAGTTACAGGTGCAAAGTAGCATCTTATGCTTGATTAGTCCGAGCTCACTTATAACTTGGCTAACTTTGAAGTGTTCTGTAACACTTTATAAACTAGCAGGACAGCCAGCAGAACTGGAACTTGTCTTCCAGGCAATTTTGTGGTGGCTGTCTTGCACCTCTTAGAATGCATGTTATGCAACGGGAATGCTAATGCTAAATATTTATGATACTACTCTATATATTGCTCTTCTGTGCATGCTGCTTTCAAATTTAATGGTAAAAAAACTGGCACCGTTACATGCTTGCTATGATACGCAAACATGGACACGAAACGCGTCAATTATTGAAAATATAAGACACAGACACGGGTTGGACAATGTATTATAATTTTTATATTTAAAAAGTATAATATTAAAAATAATTTAGAACTAATAAGTCATTTAACTAGAATTTGTTGTTAAAATTATTAATATTAAGACGTCGAAGTCTGTTGTCGATGCTGTGTATCAGGCATTGAGAGAGGAGACAATATTGATGTCGAGAGTCGGACATCGATGTTTTGCAATAAGTATCGGGCGTTGGTCATCGATGTTGAGAGGGCGTTGGTCATCGATGTTAAGATGACGTCGAACAAAGATGAGTGTCACGTTGTAGGTGTAGAAATTGCCAGCATCGAGCATCAATGTCAAGACAATGTCTTACTTTGATGTTGAGATGATTTTGAAATATTGATATTATAACGACGTCATATGTCAATGTTGAGATGACATCAGACTTTTTTGTGTGACTAAAGTCATGACTCGCCATATAAAATGAAAATGATAATATTTGATGAATGAGGTATTGAGTACGGCAATCGATTTAGTATTGTGGATAGAAAATAACAAATTTTGTTTTTTATATTTTAAATAAATAAAAATTTTAAATACAAGAAATTATATTTTTAAAAAATTCAAAACATATTTAAGACACGCATGTCGGACATTTGTGTCCAATTTATGTTTAATATTTTTTTAATCAGACATGTTTTCGGCGTGTCTGACACGCCTCCGACACGTGTCGTATCGGATACGTTTTGAATATTGCACGCTTCTTTGAGGAGAAGTGTCGGTGCATCATAGCATGCTTGTCATCAAGCAATCCACAGCTTGATGTTGCCCCATTAGGTGTTTCACGCTGTTATTTGCAAACAGCATATTTATTTTTTCTCGCTTGGCCTAGACTTTCCTTGACTTGCATAAAATTATGAAAGAAAGAAATGATAAACTCCTTTAGGGCTCATTTGGTTGATCGAAGTTAGAAATTATGCTTAAAAAATTATAAATCTTGTTAAATTCATCATCTAGTTAAATATTATTTAATAAGCATATTTGATGAATAATTTTAAACATGTTATACAAGTACAACAATGAGCAATGATAGACAATATCCCCATCAGCTTTCCCCTTACAAACGTAAGATTAGAAAACATAAACCATTTTTTTTATTGCTAGAAAATGTGAAATGATCAAGTTGAGCAACTTCTTTGACCCGGTTTCTTTGATCAATTTAATGCATTAGTTAATTATAGATTACAAGTGAAATTGTTTTGAAATTGCTGAAGTTATTGTTTTAAACATTCCTCCTACATGTTCATGGTTATTGTATCTTATAGCATCACTGTGAACTCTCCCTCCAACTGTTGCGTGCATGTTATTGTCTTCGTCATCATCAGCTACTACCTCACCCAACTCACTCTCATGCTGCATTTCGATTTGAGATATATTAAAATATAGATCATGTATGTGATAACGACTGATAAAATTTTGCAACACCGTACAAGTAATCATAATATCAACTTTGATATTCGGGGGAAACTGTCAAAAAATTGAATGTGATGAGTACTAATATTGATTGAATGGTTCCTCTTATCTAATATTATTGGTGAGGAAGTTGGCACTCGAGGAAAGAGATTGGCCACAATGTAGTTGGTTGTACTAACCAAAGTTGTGCATTGACAAGAAGCTACAATAAAATGATTTGAGCTATATATTATTTAATATTATTCAAAAGACATCCATGTAAAGTTGCATGATTTAGTTTATGATAAAATGCAATAAAATGAAATAAGATATACACATCACCTCGTTGCATAACTGCTATGTGGTTGGCAAATTTTCATTATCAGATGGATTTCTTTTATTTTGTCAAAACTTGCTTGGTAAAAGTTGCATGAACTAATTGTTTGCAAGTTTCTAATTCTTGGAAACTTAAGAATGAGTAGAATGGTGGATAAACAAAAATATTTAAACAACTAATTTTCTTCTTTGGCGTCCAAGCGTGTGGGCTTTAAATTAACATTTTTTAAAAGCTTTATGTAAATTGACTAATTGTTCTCATGTGATTAGCGTAATTTTATATTCTTATTAGAAACAATTATATTTTTTTTATTCATTTTTATCAGAGAACTGAAGTTGATGATAATTCATTGCTATAAAGGAAATTTTCTAAAATCTCCCAATTAGAAAGAGTTGAATGCAACCAGAAGGATGAAAACCAAATCATTTAAATGTTTGATTTTGCCGGTGAACTATGATTGTGATCGAAGAATGTTTCAAAAGAAACTTTGGTTGCAGCAAATTTAAAATAGCTACAAAAAAGGACATAACTTAGTAGCTGCTTAATAAGCTTTCAAAAACTTGCAATAGTAGATTTAGGCTTTGTTTGGGACGGCTTTCTTACTGCTTCTTAAAGTGATTTTCTACTATAAAAATTTTAATTTTTGTATTAGAAAGCAATTCTATGAAGCAGGAAGAAAGCCGTACCAAGCAAAACCTTATTGACTTATTCCAGCACATGAATCCTATTAAATCTGCTGCACTATAGGATTAGTAAATCTGGGATTTATCGTGAAACTGGGCGGAGCCAGGATTTTCCGTACTTAAAAATTTCAATCAGAAATTTTCCACCATTTGGCAGGATTTTAATCGGCACTTTTCCACCTTTTGGCAGGATATACGTTAAAACCAGCATAAATCTTGAATAAACTCCATACCAAACAGCCCCTTAATGTCATTTAAGATTAGGACTTCTTTTATTTTTACTGCTTTCAAATGGTCTCCTTGTGCTATGAACTTGCAATTTTTTTTTTCAGTTCTAACTTTCTCTCTGTTTTTTTTTTTTCATAATTTCTGTAATCAGCTTCAAACAGATGATCGGCTAGCTGCAATGTTTGTTGTTGGATATTCCTTGGAAGGTACCATTGTCTGCAATGTTGTTATAGCTCTTTAAACACTTCTAACGTTCTTTCTGGTTATGCAGAAGATGGGGAAAGTGATGAACAAATTGTTCTAGTTAGTCAAAGTGGAACTGTTAACAGAATCAAGGTTCGGGATATTTCTATCCAATCACGCTATGCTAGGTAATTGGTCTCCAACCTTACATTATATTTTATTAGAATTGATTATAAGAGTCCTGAATTTCTATTGAGCTGGTGGGCTAAAAGATGGCAATATTTACATGCAATAAATCCTTACGATAATGAGCTAAATTTCTGGCTTGTTAGTCTTTATAATTAGAGAAAATTCGTTTAAAGCTCTTGAGCTGACCTATATTAATTTTTAGTCCTATTTTTTAATTAATACATATCAGTTTTATTTTTTCAGACAATTTTTATTTTTCATTCGTCTTTCTTCCTCCATGGATCTGGCTTTTAAGGTAGCATTTGTTTACTGAAAAATTAGATTTGATTATGATCAGATATCTGCTGTAAATTTAGATTTGATTATGTCAGAGTTAGGTGCTTATGAATGGGCATATGTCGGCTAGGGCACAGGACATACAGCGAGGAATATAAAAGTATATATAATATCACAAATTGCTAAAAATTTGAAATTTGTTCTTATTAAAAATAAAGCTTACTAGTTAAAAGATTAACAAATTGTGATCAACAAATAGTATATCCTTTTAATTATTTACATGATAGGTGGTGATCAACGGGAAGATAAATCTACTTCACTGCTATTTACTCTTTTAATACATATATTTGACACTCCCAAATTCTTATTAGGGGTGTTATTCTCATGAGATTGGAACATGCTGGAAAGATCAAGTCTGCTTCACTAATTGCAGCATCAGCACCAGAGGAAGCTGAGCTAGAAGATTGAAGTGTAAACCTGACAAGGTACCATTTTGGTTACTTATTTATGCACAGTTATGCTGGACATGAGCTTTTGGTGCCAACATTGTAAACTTTTTCGCATCAAAGCATCAGCAGTTTTGTCAAAAATGGTCGTTGTAATCTTAGTGGGCTTTGCAATCTATTTTTTTAAGAGAAAAGCTTACTGGTGCTTATTTCATTCTTGTATCATCTATTTAACTTTTTCTTTGGTATCATGGTTAGCTTCAGTATTATCGTTTCACATCCAAATCACCTGTAGCTGCTGTAGACCCATAACTGTACTCAGGCAATAGAGTTCTGAATTTTTGCTGAAATTATATTTTCAGAAGAAAATGAAGCATTATTCATAAAGATGAGTATTAGAGCTAAAAAAATTTAACATTGAAAAAAAAAAAGTTACTGCCAAAGTTTTATGATATTCCGAGTTGCTGATAAAAAAACTCAGAAGATTAAAAATCTTTTTAGTTGTTTTATTTGCAACCAAACTTAACACTAGTGTGCTTAACATAAAGATTTTGGAAATATCTGCAAAGTACAAGTGTTGAAAATTCATTAGAGCATTCATTTAGTAGTATATCAAACGGTTAGAACATCTATCTCTGGATAAAGATTAGCTTTAGTAAAGCTGTATTAAGTTTTAGTGTTTGATGCTCAAAATTGAGTTTTGGATAGATTATTAACCTTCTTTCTGCTCAAGAGAAGCTCTCTTTGTTAATGCCATCCGTTTGAAAGAGCTGATTCAATAATGAGGAGCTTTAGGTTGACTTTTATGTGAAATAAATTAATCACAGTGCAGATGATAGAAACATTGAGCATCAGTGAACAATTAATGCAGGTTATTTATGGGTTTCTTTTGATGACTAATGGAGTTGGCATGATGAAAGTAATTAATGTTGACTAAGACTTAGTTTGGGCGATTTTTTTATTGCTTCTTAAAATAATTTTTTAGTTTAAAAATTAAAATTTTTTTACTAAAAAGTATCTTTAAGAAGCAGCAAAATAGCTGTCCCAAAAGAAGCCTTAGTGCAAGCTTATAGTGATGAAATATTTTGGAAAATATGGAATCGAAATTCTCAACCGTTGAGCACGGTAGATGGCGTGATTAGGATTTGATATGGAGGTTTTTTTTTATATGGAGGTGAAAAATAGAGAAGAATAGTTTTAGAAGATGGAATCATGATGTGGAGATTTTTTATTTTTATTTTTTTTCTTTTTGGATTTTCTTATGATTGGGAAGGGGAAAGATAGAGAAAAATAATAAACATTAAAAGGATTTGAATGTGGAAGATAAAGCACGAACATGATGAGCCTCTTGTCTCCATGACAATGGAAGTATCAAATTTTCATGAATGGTTGAGAGCCAATGGTGGAAAAGGGTAGTAGATGTGCAAGATATAATACATCTTATTATATGATTTTTCATTTAAAAAAATATCGAACAATTGTGTCATGGAAGTCATAAAACCTCTTTATGGTTGTTGTTTGTCAATTGGAGAGGGGAGAGGAGACCAAATTGGCACAAATACAATCAAAAGCTCAATTTCATCCACTTTTATTCATATTTATACAAGGGGTTGTTAGCCTTAACTAAAACTTAATATATTTAAATTCAAAGGGACAATTTGAGGGAAAGTGGCATTTTTGCATGTAACATGATGCTTGCTTGATGGCTCTTCTTTATTTGAATTTTCCTTTGAAATGGGGGGAGGTGATTATCACTTGATTTTGAGCATCAAATCACCATTGGAATGTAGCTATGAAGGGGCATCTTTTAGCTTTGTCATGGCACCCTTTGGCATTAAAAGTTGGTATAAATATGTGTGATATGAGATTGATAGACTACCCTCCTGTTCAATAACTTCAAATGAACTTACCACAACTAAATTGTAGAAATTTAAATTCAAAATTGAAATTTTAAAAGTTAAAAATTTTCTTTGATTTAGAACTTCATGCTCTCTTCCACTACATGAACTCAACTTTTTAGAGTAAATTTTGAGCAATATGATAGTATGGTAGGGTTTTATATATATATATATATTTTTTGATCCAAAAACCCGAGTCTAGACTGTTTTCACCCTGTTTTTGGCCCAGAAAGCGGAGTTTGGCCCTTTTTACTAGAAAACTAGCAATTTTTTTCACGGTTTCGGGTCATTCGGGTCATGTTGGGTTGACCCAGACTCGAAGCGGGTGGGATTCGGTCCGAAAAATTGACCCGTTTGAAAAAATGGGTTTGGTTTAGGTTGACCTAAATATTGTCGGGTCAATTTCGGGTTCGACCCGAATCCAACTCGTGACCCGGAATTGACACCCCTACTTCAAATAAACTTTCAACAACCAAATTCTAGAAATTTAAATTTTGAATATAAATTTAAATTCAAAATTGAAATTTAAGAAGTTAAAAATTTTCTTTGATTTAGAACTTCATGCTCTCTTCCACTTCATGAACTCAACTTTGTAGAGTAAATTTTGAGCAATATTATTTTTTTAATAAAAGCATTTTTATGGGCATGAGAAAATGATTATGTGTAGGTCAAATTGGGGGAGGCATTAATAATAGTGGTTAGTCATTAGCCATGGAAGAGTGTAAGAATAATGGAGTGAAATTGATAGCCTTGAAGTTAGGTAATAAATAAAAAATTATGATGGAAGAGAGTTTGCATTCTTTGCAACCACAAGCAAGATTTACAAAGAATTAAATCCTCATTAAAGGATTTTTTTAGAAAGTAAGGACATCAAATTAATTTTTAGACAAACACTTTTGGAATATTTACTCACATGAAAATGATAGAGAAGAAGGGAGTGGTGATTGCAAATTAGATTAAGTCCTCTTAGGCTTCATTTGGGACAATTTTCTTATTGCTTTTTATAATTGTTTTCTAGTACAAAATATTTTAGAAGCAGTGAAAAAGTTGTGGTCTAAAGCTATCTCAATCGAAGCCTTAATCTTATAAAATTTGAATGTTAATGTGACATATTAGGATCTAATGAAACCATTGAATGTCTTATTCTACATTTAACTCATCTATAAACAAGACAAATCAAAGATTACTATCAAACCCAAAGTAATAATACTAATAAAAATATTATTTTATTTTCATTTTTCAAATGAAATATATAATAATCTAGTGAACATATGATTAATATATAAATAAAATTAACGCTAGATTATAAAATATACCTTAACTATCCTAAATTAGAAGACCCAATCTTTATCTCATTATTGTGTTGGGTCTTTTTCTTTTCCTAAAATGTTAAAAAGTATCACACAATGAGCACAATTAGATCAATAGACTTCAATGACTGACTCATCATAGATATCAATATCTATTTGTATATATTAATAACAATTTAATTAATTTTTTATTTAATAAATAAGAAAAGAATTTTGCATTAGTAAAAGTGATTAGTAACATGTATTTGAATTCTAAATGATTACATGTACTTTCACAGATAATTTTTAGAGAATTTTCAAAGTTGCAAAGAACACTTGCCCTCTGAATCGTGTTGGTACTTGGTTTTTTTTTTTTTTGTTTGATTTCATTAGACTTCATTCAGAAATATTAGAATATATCATAACCAATTCAAAATAGCATTTATAAATTAATTATTAAAATTTTAAATTATACAATTCATGAATAAAATGGATATCTCAATGTGTGCTTATAATTTCACTTCCATTTTTAACTCTCTTTAACATCTCAAACATGTATTCAGCAAGTGGGGCCAGAACAAAATAGAATAGAGTAACTTCTCACACCCACATTCAACTAGTCTGGCGAGAATCCCTCCCACATCTGCATAAGAAAGATGAGACCAAAACAAAGCATATAAGGTCATTGTATCATTTCAAAAAGTGCACTTATAGCATTTTAAAATTCAAAACTCTTTCAATATCATGCCATGAGTTATTCAATTTGAATGCAACAGTATGAAATTATTACTTAAACCACTAATTATGATAATGTGTAGAATATCAAAATTGTCTACATTGTTGCATGTATAAAAACTGCCCATTAGACTTTTCCCAATTCATTCATAATTTTGATGGAATATCTAGAGCATTGTTTTAAGCTTTTTTTATAGAACCGTTATGAAAGCTAGAAATGTCTTATTTATTCAATGTACAAATAACTCAGTGTTGGAAAAATTAACTAGCAAAACTTAAACTTCTTATAGTTAAAATGTTCATAATAAAGCATTTGACAATAAACTAAAAGTTGCACAATGAAAATGTTATGAAACCAGAGAAAAATATATTTTAATTTATATTTTTTATAGAATTTTTTGAATTGAAATCGAAGATAGGAGTTTAAAAGTCCATCTTGTGCTCTATGAAATCCCTAATTGGCCCGATGGACAATACCCGAGCTTCAGCCTATGAATCCCATCTCTTTTTTTCTTTGTCCTTCTTAACAAGGTGGCTGGGTGGGCGTTGGAAATGAGTTTATATATATATATATATATATATATATCATCATTTTGACCATGCACCATGATGCCCACCTTTCCAGCTCTGTGCGCTCCAATAAAATATTATAGATGCTCCAAATTCCCCAAACACGAGAGCTGAGCACCACGGTAGCGCTAGCTAGTGTCATAGTTCTCCCTTAAACCTTCTTCCTAAACAAAGATTTCAATGCAGCAAAACAGAACTTCCCAACGCCATGGCATTCCCAGAGCATTTTTGAAAACTTATGGTTTGTCTTTTTCATTTCAATTCTAAGTTCTTTTTGTAATGACCCACAGTACCCCAAAACAATATTGTAGAGTGTAACAAATAAAACATAACATTTTTCATCTTATAACCATCTGAAACAATTCATCATTTACATTTTTACATATAAACATATCATAAACCTCAACTGGTACATCAATGGAAGCACTTAAAAGTTTTAAACATCCATAAAATATAATTACAGAGCCACTAAAGAAAAATCAAGCAAACACTTCATGGGAATATTTGAAATTACTAAACGATAAGAGGGGGGGGGGTGAATTGTAAAAATCTTTTTCTTAATAAAAGTAACCCTAAACAAGAGTTCTAATTTTTTTTTTTGTTTTTGAAATTTTATAACGATCTCCAGAGAAGAATTTCTATGACATTTTGCATTTAAAAATAAACTCTCCCCCTGTGTGTGTGCATGGTTGCTCTTACTCTTATGCATTTTGTGGCCAGACTCAATAAAATAAAATAAAATAAATTGAAAAATACAATGTTTGACTCAAA